AAGCCTTGGTGATGCTGATCAAGCCCCTTTTGCCTTAGCGTTTCCTTCAATAATTGCTCTGGAATTAGATACATAAGCAACTCCATTTCTGAGACACCGAAGTAGCTATTGGATCTTCTTCTTTTGCATACTTTATTTCCCCTCTATGCATCATTAATGTTGCAGAGCCACACCTGCTTTGTCGCTGATGCTTGCCAGGTCCTCATCCTGGGGACATGGGTATGCACACATGTGAGCTATTGGGTGCATCTCCTCTTTGGAATCGCCAAATCGAGTTGGGCTGGACATGCACAACTTCCAGTAACATTTTATCTTTCTGAGGAAATCCCAGCCAACTGATTGTGCTGCAGTCCTTTAGGTGAGGCCTTAAGGAAAGCTTCTCAGCTGATGTTAATGCACAGAATATCACTGTCCCTTTACCAACTGAAGATCAGCTGGGCCCTAAATATATACACCTCAGAGCTATTTGTGTAAGGAGCTAAGCTGAAGTCTCCCCCCTCCAGCCACAGGCTGTGACTTCACAAGCAGTGCTATTTTGGTAGTTTCTCATGTTCTAGAAAACACTTTTTAAAGGGTCAGTATTTAAATGGCTAATTTCCAGTTGACATCAATGGGAGTCAGGCAGCTAAACCCCTTGAGGATCCTGGCCTAAATGATTTAGGAGCTCAAGTCTTTGCTTTTGATGTGGGTGGGATTACCTTGGATGCATACACGTGCAGCCCTCCACAGATAGAGCCATACTGAGAACCACAGAATAAATCAGTACTCCAATGTCAAGCCAGTAAGCCTGCACATGTGCCATTCATTCTGCCCCTGGTACCCACAGATGAGATGTTTTACTTGATCGTATCCTGCAATAGTCATCCAGTCTTGGGTACAGCCTCACATACTCATGTGACATCTTGTCACACTTCTTTCCTCTTCATCATGGTCCACTGGTTCTCTGCTGAGAAGCCTTTATAGCCTCTTTTATTCTCTGCAGATCAGTTTTTGAACCTGATGAGCACTGACTCCCCCACATATTAGTAATTGCATGGGGTTTGCTTTCCGCATTTGATTTGCAGCTCTGTAGCATCCCACCATCCACTGTAACACTGGTGCCCCAACCTTCTGGCCCCAAGGGCTGGATGAATGACATGGGGTCACTCCACAGGCTGGATACCAGGTGGGGTAGGCACATAGGGTTGGTCCAGGGATGCAATCCTGCATGCCCAGATCCAGCCACACACTGGCCCGAACCCATGCATCCAGAATCAGCCATGCTCTGGTACAATTAGGTGTACAGGGCAACATTATCTGGCCCTCTGGGCTCCCCATGGGTCAAGAAGTTTGGAAGCGCCAACTAGTGCTGTCACTGCTTTGCTCCCCTGCCACCAAGTTTCCATATCACTGGGAAGCCCCCACAAGCCAGATGACAATTGGTAGGCTAAGTCTGGCCCATGGGTTGTGGGTTATTCAGGAGAAGAGGCAGAATTCACAGATCTGAGGACTTGGGTTAGCTCATGCATAGCTGGAAGCACATTCATTACAACACCATACCCTACACGTACAACTCATGACGGCAAACACTGTATTTATATCTGGTGCCCATCATGACTCTACAGGTTAGAAACTGTACTGAGAGCGCCCAAATTCTGCAGAAATTAGTATTTGGCCTCTATTCTTGCCAGGGAAAACATCCTGCCTGCTAACCAAGTAGACTTTTCCAAGTATGTGTATGGCAACTTAGGGCAGAAAATGTTCAGTCACTGCCCATGTTGAAAAAGTATCTTTGCCCCTTACTAACATTTCGCTGAGATGAGTAATATGCTGGTTCAACCAGAGGAAAAAAAACCCCTACCTCTGAAAAGGCGTAATAATTAAAATGATGGGGAGGAAAAAAAAATGTTGGCCCTAGCTGCATGTGGGAGGAGGGCCAGAGGCCAAATCTCATGGCTTTGATCTTGGCAGGTTGGAAGATCATGGAAAAATGCTTTGCTAGCACCAAACAGCCATATTAACCAAAGGGCGGGGGCAGACCCATGTACAGATGTGAATCCAGCACCAAGCAGCCAGCCACGAGCAGCCCCCGAGAGCACCAACCTTCCCCTCTCTTCTAAACCCACAATCGAAGGCCGCTTCCAAAATGAGGCCATTACAGAAAATCATTATTGATACGCCAAGTGGGCTCTGCCAATTCAACCCAACCCACGCTAAGGGTTAGATCAGGGAAAGGATTGTTACTGAAAACCAAGCCTGTGATGTCTTCCTTATAGCCTGGTATTTTAGAGAGTTACTTATGGTCATGGTTGACCATTCGCAAAGGAAAGCTCTTCAAGTGACGCTTACTTTTTCTAGATCACCTTAACTCGGGAAACTAAAAGGCTGCTTGCAGATCTCTAGACAAGCCCTTTGAGGCCAGGTTCCCGGGGGAGGCCCTGCCATTCACTTCCCTCTTGCTTCAGGGGTCTGCTGGTCTCTGAGACATGGCCTAACACCCACCTACTTTATTGAGGCCTTTGCCTCCAGGATGCGATTTCAAGGCAGGGTTGCCTTTACAGCTTTGTTCATCAGGTCTGGGTTGGGACAGCTGAGCGTTGCACTCAGAATCCAGGGATGCAGCAACATATAAAGTGCTTTCTCTGCAGTTTCCCCATCCTGGCACGCTCTCCTCCAGCTGCCCTGCTCTTGGCTACCCGCCTCCTTTCCTATACCCTATGCTGAAGAAGCATGTGGGCAGAGCACTTTGCTTGTACAGCTGAGCTGGCATCTTGGGTGTTTGGCTAGATGTGGAACAGGCGTCCCGGCATCCCAGGGCAGCACCTCCACCCAGAACACACCCTGTACCTACACACCAGGATCTCCACCTTCCCGCACCACCCAGCAATTATCTGTGGTGCTGGAAAGTATGCAGCCCACAGCACGCACAATGCTGCACTATTTAAAGGGACGCACGGACATAAATCAAGACGGAGGAGATTTGGGTCCCTAACTGCGAGAGCAATTAAGCACAAGGACAAATTGTCTACAGAGCTTGTGCAATGTCACTAGAGGTATTAAAGTGCAAGTTAGATAGACACTTTCCTGGATTTGTTAGATCCTGCCTGGAGCAGGGAGAGATCCCATCCAGCCCTTTTGCTGGAATAATAAAAACAAGGGGTTTCCCTTAGGCTATTTTAAGGGTAGGGGTGTTCGTGCCTCTCCAGCCCTTCCCCTTGCTCCACATACGTCACAGCCCCCAAACCTACAGCCTATACTCCTCTGGTCTTGAGCAGTAGCGAGTGCAGGACAGGATACATCACTAGTGGAAGGATCTGCATGGTTTCTGTCGCAGAGCAGCCCCCTCTGCCCTGTACAGGAGCCTCTCTTAGGATTGCCCTTTTACAGCAAGGCTGGCTTTACAGGACTACCGCAGTTAGGAGTGTGGGAATAGGGAGTCATACCTCCAAACCACAAAGCTACGTCAGCAGAAACCTGGGTTTGGATGCAGTTCATACTGGCAGGAGAGTGCTATGGCCAAGCTCACTTGCTCTTTTAGACAACTGAGAGTATTTTTTGCTAGTATAAGTTGTATCTCCATTATGAGCAGCCCCTCATAAACGCAGTAATGTTCTTATAAAAATACAGTCCTCGCTGCCAACTCGTACGTTGCAATCCCCTAGGAATCTAAAACAGTCTGACAAAAAAATGTTGTTAGTGGTAAACCCCAGCCAGCCCTGTGTGACTTGAACCAAAATTTAAGCTTTCAGAGCATGCCATTCACATTGTTACCATCTAACACCATCTGTGGGCTCCTCCACGCGTTTTGTATAGACTAGGCACGGAGGATGAGACGTTATGCACTGGCACTTGGAGCCTGCTGAGGTTTATGCGTGTGCTTAGCTTTGTGCGTGGCAAATAAACTGGCTTCGGGCTGGTGACTCGCAGGCATGCTTCACCACATGCACTGAGTTTGCAAGATGGGGTCCCACTGGCTGTTGAGGGGAATGGAAATGAAAAGACTTGATGGTTTGGTCTATGCTGGGAAACTCTGGCTGGTTGAGTCACATCTGTTTGGGGTGTGATTCACTATGATATTTTTTATATATTAGTTCGGTCAGAACGATACTGAATGCAAGTGCTTTTGTCTGTAAAACTTAATGCATTTAGGGAATGGGCATAAGTTATATCAGCAAAAGCACTTTTTGGCTGGTAAAAGCTGCATCTTTCTGCTAGAAAAGTTTGCCATTATAACTGCACTACTGTCCCTATCCCAGCAAATCTTCTCTACTGCAGGCCACAGACATGGTAGCTGGGAATTGAGAAACGCCGTCCATAAACCTGCATCCTTTAAAAGACCAGCAAGCAGCAGCAGCAGCCTCACCCCTTCTCAGACCCTCGCCTCGGACACAACTAACCCCTTGCACAAAAAAGCGTGACAGGGCAGGCGTGTCGAGAGATGCGGAAGGAAAACCTATGCTGACACAGGCCGGTGTTGAAAACATGGCTTACGACACACCGGTCTGTAACCAGCAATAAATATGGAGGGCTTGTATTTGCGGCAGGTCCTGAACACTCGGCCTGTGCCCTGAGCAGTGCTTAAATATGGAAGGCAACGTATTTTTTTTAGCCTCGCTGACCACCTGATGGGCTGCTCACCCCCTTCCAGAGAGCAGATACATGGCCAGCAACTGTAGCCAAATGCACAGTGTCCAGGAGCAGGGAAGAGTTCACACCAAAGTCTTTTTTGTGGGGGGAAGATTTGATACAGACCTCAAATCGCAGCACGGAAGAGGAGCAAATGGTTGCATGCAGCAGACTCAGGAAGGCTGAAGCTGAACTTCCTCCGGGCTGGCAGCACGTGCTGCAACCCCCCCCCCTGCTCCCCAGAGCTGCCCCCGCACGCAGCTCCCTGCCTGCTCCCATCTGCTGGGAGGGGGCTGCTTTTCCCCCCCAAAACCCCAGCTTGCTCCAAGACCCCCATATCCCTTCCCACTGCTGGAGGCTCAGCCTGGCCCGTGCCCCCAGCCCCATGCACTTACCGGGCCCGCGGGCGATCAGCGGGGCGATGGGCAGGGGCAGCGCCGGGCTGCTCGGGGCAGCATGGTCCCCTGCGCTGCCGGCCTCCTGCCGCACTCACTTCCTCTGCGTACATTTTTTCT